CACCTCCCGGTCGATATACCTGATGGATGGGCCCCGGCATGACTTAATAATCTACCACAGGTATACCTCCTCCCCTGATGGCCTCCCTGGGAATTCTTTCCGCCACTGATCTCAGTTCCGGCTGACACTCTTTCGATACCTTGCCTCCTCCAACTCTGATATGCCAACAATTCACTGACCCTTTCCCGGTTGCTAGCCCTCCACCCACCTCGAATCCTCCATCACCAGCTGTACTTGTTCCAAGTTTACGAACTGGTGGTTCGTGCGGCCACGCGCATGGAGAATCTACGAAGTTGGGTTGGGAACCAAAAAACGACGCACTAGTATCTACAAAACAGGTAAAGTGCTGCTGGTGTTGCAAGACGCAAGGACCTAATTCTTTGGGTTGAAGGCTTGGAGCTTTCCGGCCGAGGAGGAATAAATTTGAATATACTTAGGCCTGTCCTTGGTTTTTGAGTCACCAGGGCCTATTGAGGGCACACATCTTCGTACGGACGTTTGTCCTGTGGTTAGAAAATTATGGATTTCAAACATCAACCACTAGATAGTAGGAAATGAGGTTTCACTCTTTCCCTAGGGCGGGCTGTAATGCCTGATATTTTAAAGATAGTCGAAAGGGTTGGGTGTGTGTGCTTGGGAAGGGGGAGATTGCATTGACGTACCCAGTGAAGTGTCCTTTCTCCGGTGAGTAAATAAATCTACTGAAACTTTTATCGCACTTAATAGAACTACAGGTCAGCGGACTTGTCATTTAACAGTCAGGGGACGTCAATAAATAGCCATTAGTCGTCCAACAATCAGCGGGTAACTCTACAATCAAACATCGACTATTGACCATCTAGATCCAATGTCATGGGGAAGTTTCCACATCTATGACTAGCACTTTTGCTCGCAGCAAATGCCAGTGCATATAAACCAGCTGCGGTTCCCAGTACCTAGCGCATCCATCGACCGAAATACCACCTTCTCTAAACCATTGCCTAACACTTCAAACTCCTTCCTTTTGTATCTCGACCATGTCTGCAACATCTTCAACCTCATATTTACGTGCATCCCTGGGCCGTACCCCAAACTCCGATATCTCAACAAGCCACGAACGCATAAACAACAGCGATATCTGTTCTCGAGCAGAAAAAATACCAAATGCCTTGTTCTCCAGCACATGCACATAAGCCGTTTCGCCATAACACAAACACTCCAAATAGCCGAAGAATTAACACCCACAATCCTAAATCAACGTGGAGTCATCACCAATATAACAATAAGCACTCAAACTATATACCAGTCATCCCTGGAACAGGGAAACAAGAGGGTCGGACTGGTTTAGCAGCCTCGAGATGGGCCTATTGAGGAAACAGAACTTGGTAGTTCTGTGATCAGAAAGTTATAAATTGCTAAACTCACTGCGAGTAGGACATCAGATCTTAGACTTTGCAATGGATGGGTTGGAAAACCCTTTAACGCAGGAAGGATAAGGCGGGGGGAATAATTTGTGTGTTTGGGGGGAGGGGGTTTACATTGACGCTTCGAAGAGATCGATCTTTTTTACCCCACGATATTCCCCATGCCTCGGGCAATTCAAATTGGGGGATGAGTGCCACCAGTTGGAGGTCAGCCTGTGCGGGGATGATTAGGGCAGTTGCTCTTTGAGGCATGAAATTGACATGGAGGGGTCAGAGGGATTGGGAGGGGGAGTTCGAGAAGCACCAATAGTTACCAGGTCCTGAAGAAGTGTAATGAGCGAGCGGATGCCCTAGCCAAGGTACGGACAGAGAATGCAGAGCCAGAGAACCTCAAATCACTGAAGGGGGGCTAAGGCAGGAGTGGAAAAGAAAGAGGGAGGCAGAGAGAAGGTGATAGGTGCAGGTGGAAGAAGAGTGGTAAATTGGGAGCGGAAGGCACGGGTTAATTACGTCCACTGCAGGACCGGGAAGGGCAATTTACAATCCTGGTGCAATAAGTTGGACAGTTCTGTCGACCCTATGTGCAGAACATGCGGCCGATACGTGGAAACAGGCAAGCACGTAGCTTTGGTGTGTCCACGCGGGGAGGAAATCGGCAGGAGGTGGGGAAGTTGGGAAGATATGAACGACCGGAAGAGGTGGTTCGAGAAGATTTAAGACGGGGGAGACTTGGTGGAGACATTTTTCTCCAACCTCGATCTAGCCTGAGCGGAGGGTGAGCGGAAGTTGAGGTGACGAATTTCCTTTGTTAATACTCTAAGGGAAAGGGCCGGCAGAGGCGTGGCGGTGGCGGTGGAAGATATATTTATGATTGGGGAGCTGGCTGGTCTAGGGGCGTGGAGGCGGAGGCAGGGGTTATTTAGGTTATTTCTTTGGCTCCGAAGGCAGGATGTTTATGTAGCCCGTTGTTCCGAGGGTGTACCGAGTCTTTTAAGATGAGGGATCGGGGCCGCTTCATAGCCTTAGGTAGGCTCCATAAGCGTAGACTATAAAAATAAAAACAAAAACAAAATAAATAAAAATCCCATGGCTGGTTTTTTTTTTTTTATACCCACTCATACATCAATCAACAAGTAATATTATGGTGGTAGAACATGTCACTCACATTGGAAGCAGTTTCTTTATCAATTTTGGTCACGATTAAATGAAATGGAAACGCAAAAAAAGAAATTTGGCTGTGCACGGAATCGAACCGCGATTGTATCGGGACAGCTGAACTCTGCAAGAATCCACAACGATACGTGCTACCATTACACCACACAACCCCTAATCTTGAGAACTATGCCCCTAAAGAAATACATAAACTTTGTTGAACTAGAGATTAAAATGGCACGACGACGGCGCAAATATTAAATACACCATCGGTTCTACGGCAGCTACTGTAGGTACGGTTTTTTTTTTTCAAAAGACTTAGATTCCTTCTTTGAATAGGCTATCGAGATTTGCAATAGGGGTTGTCACCAATTAAAGCAACTGCTTAAACACCCTTGTTGCTTTAACCTAGGTGTTTAACCAAATAGAGATGAGAATGTGATTTAATTGGCTGATACCCATTTGCATTTTATTTAACCGCTGACTCATGAGGCAAATCAACCATTCCAGCATTTGCGTACCTAGCATTTTGCATTCCAATTCCGCATACCTATTCCGCATACCCCAAGCGAAAGCCAGCATGCCCCGTTCAAGCAAGAAGTTTATGATAAGAGTGGAATTGGAGGACGCGATGGAGGACGTCTGCACAATTTGTGGCACTAGAGCGGGAAATCCGATGAAGAAGAGGATTTGGAGGTTTCGGAAGATTCAGAAGATAAGAGATCAGACTGGAGAATGATTAAGGGACTTGGTGGTCCAGCTGGTGAAACCATTGTGGAGTGAGCATGGATTTGGCGCTAAAGATTCTAGTGAAGGTAGAAGGGGATGTCGTTTGTCATATCATACTTCATCTTTCTTTGACATCCTTATGCCATGCAGATTGCTTCCCCCGTAGCTTCTCTTGATTATCCTCTATCCAAGCAACAAGCCTTTTCTATGTCTGATTTATCCCATGCCTTGTTTGCTTTTGAACCGAAACCTCTGTAGCCGATGTCGTCGTCTTACCGATCGGTGTACTTGGTCGCTTGGATCAGGGTGTGCTTGACTTTTTGGATGGGGATGGTGGGCTTGATTGAGCGGCACTGAATTGGGAGAATATCGCGAAGTCTTTTTTGTTAGCTTCGATAAGTTCATCGTCAGTTACATTTTATTAGTGCCTATGCACTACAAACTTAAGAACGTGTTCATAACTTTCTCTCCTCAGAGGTTGAAGCGTTAATCTCAGACCCATGCCTTCACCACGATTCAACAAGTTCCTTCGTCCATAGCAACATGGCCTCATCTAGCCATAGTCATAGGGCTGGTGGTTATTTATTAGCTATCCTGAGAGCTTTCGTCAACTTCTGCTACAAGGTTATCAACTTCGAAATCAGGTTCACTGCGATAGGGAAACAGATCACCTCCGAAAGTGAAAAAAACCCAAGCAATTTGCCGTCGGCACACAAGACACTCCCATAAAAAAACCCGATTGTGCTTGGAAAGTTCGACTTCACCATATTATATTCAAGTTTATAACCTACATACGACAAATAAACACAAATATGAACGCCTTCGCCCAATTTGCTCGCAAATCCTTCACTACATCTGGCGTCAACCCCGCAAAAGCGATAGCCACCCTCACCTCCACCAAATCTCACAGTCTCCAGCACCAACCAGTTCGCATACTCACCCCGAAAGATAGTCTATCTAGAGAGAATTCCTGCGTGGGCTCCGATATTATGCAGGGTTGGAAGTTAGATGAGATAAAGACCAAGAATCATGAGGAGGTACCGCTGGTGGACTTTCTAGAGGAACGGAAAATGTTGAGAGCATTTGCAGAGCTGTGGAAGAAGATCTAAAATGTAGAAACCCGGGGGCAGCAATAGAAGGAGAGGGAATCATCTCCGAAGGTGTTTGAGAGTTCAGGGCTGCGCACGGGAAAGGAAGAGAAAACAAGGAGGGTGTGTGTGTGAGTCTTAGAACATAGCCTATGGATTAGGTAAATAGCCATAGACTGTACATACTATCTATCCACTTGTCCATTCACTCGTGCGGTGATGGGATAAATTACTCTCTGTCCTTCTTTGTTGCCATAGACTTTAAAACCAGCCAATAGGACGAAGTGAAGTAAGGGGTATCGCCATGTCCGTTCCTCGTGGCCCTCCGGCTGAGCTGATGGAATATAGCGATAGTCTAAAACTCGCTGCTCAATGCTTTTATCAAAGCACACAATATGCAATATGAATGCAGGTAAGATATGGACCACGTAACTGCTGGTTGTGATGTCCATGTTAGTTCCATTCGATATCACCACCAGGTTCAACTGAAGTTAATTCAACGTACAATAATTCTAATTTCCTCGGGTGGGTTGGGTGGCATAACTTGAGGTATGGAAGGAAGCCTTCCGGAGTAGTCTGAGCTTGAAGTGGATGGTGAGCCCGAGAAAAATCGAGTGCAAAAAGAAATAGCTCCACGCGGGACTCGAACCCGCAACCTCAAGATTGACCTTCAAACCAAAGCGGATGTAGAAGTCTTGCGCGCTACCATTGCGCCAGCAGAGCCAATTTTGTGATAGTGACTTCACTATGATCTCTATGAGCAGCGATAGTGTTCGCCTAACCAATAAAGGAAATTGAAATGCTTTGTTATTGTTTTGGTGTACGGGAGCTGCGAACAAGAACTGTATATTGGTTCAGACATAGTAAGGGATGTATTAGTTTACTTATGGAGCCCGATTCTCCTGATAGGCGTCCGCCACTTTATAAGCTAGGCATATTACAGCGTTGCAAAAATTACGATGGTATTTGGATGTGAAGCTATAAGGAAAGAAGAATATATAGTCCGTGTAGGTAAATGTTTCCCTGCAGCGGCCGTGTAAGACATGCTAACTGCAAAGGTTGGAGCTGTAATGGAAACAGATACATATATTTCCTTAATTGCTGTTCTAAATTGAGGATATTCAAAATACAAAATTTATAGAACTGGGCAACAAGTTATTTTGATGATATGGGAGGTTCTGTGGGGTTTACATTAGGATACCTTTATCTTATGCTAGTGGGTTGAAACTCTGAACAGTATATTGAGATTATTGAAGGATGACATGGAAGCTGATTAGAATTCATGCAAGACAACTCTTCACTTCACACCTCATACCTTACTAGACGTTTGTTGGAAGGTGAAGGGTCTGATGATATGTTAAAAAGACACTTCATCAAAAGTTTCTAGATCTTGCTTCTTTGTGGCAATACCCTTTTTTTTAAAAAAAAAAAAAATTACTCATTACTCATGTTTGGTCCCAGTAGGGAGACCATGAGGAGACACTCGGAAACCCGGTTGGATTCAGGGCAAGGCAAGTTAATCTGCCAGGCCCCGCGGATATATACAAACACAAAACATGAACGGACAAAGTCAAGTACCCAAATGTAGGTGACTCAAGGATCAATAACGAAAATTAAACTCAAGTGAATCGGGACTCCCGTGCTGTCATTAACCGGCTGATGCCAGATGGTCCCTCGAGGCTTGACTGTAGCTCCAAAACGAGACCAAATGGAAAGTGTAGTGACAAGGAGATACCGTGCTGAAAATAAATTCGAAATTCGAAACAACTCAAATACCATGCGGTAAGGAAATGCGATTATTCATGAGTGAAAGTCATCGAGGGCTCCCCTGTCTTCCAGCTATCTGGTACCCCTCCCGGCGAAAGGGAAAGACCCAGGTACAGTGAAAACTTCCACTTCACATTGTAGATCAAAAAAAATGGGTAAAAATAGACAGAGAGCAGAAAATGAAGTTGAATGCGGTAATCCGTGCCAGCTGACTTCGGAGAAAAAGGCAAGTTGCATTCAAAATGTTGTAGACTGATTTGTCGAGCATGGGATGTTGCGGTTGTTGCGGTCGGCTTCGGGGCGTGGGAAAACGGTTACGGGATTGAAATGTGCCAGATGTTCTCGGAATGCTGATTGCGAGCGCGAGGGTTTGGATGGTTCATGGGCACATAAGGCCCGCTCTATTTCTATGACTCGTCTACATATTGTGAATAGGGTATTTTGAGCAATATATGAAATATTCTACCACAATCCGTGCATTGTGTGTTTATTCCTTCTAATGAAAGCTAGATAAAAGGAGAAAGATTTAATACTTGGTATTCAACCATTTTGCATGAATAGCTGGTACTAGCAGCCAAATTTGGAAGATGTGCCGGATTGACCAAGTCCCAGATGATTGTGCGCATCAATTAAGATAAGCTTGATGACCTCCAGAATGTACGATATGTGGATACTAGTGAGTCAGGTAAATTCTAGGCTTCTACCAGGCATGTTCGATGACACTGAGGCCAGGTGAAAAGCAGAGCAATCTATAAGTGGTGGTCAATTGTTATTTCCATTAAGCTAATGTCAATTACGAAGGCGAAATTTCAAAAATCAACTGACAGCTCTAAATTAAATCTTCAGTTAAGCCTGCTAGTAACATGGAAATCATTTCTCAGCATTCAGGTTATCAACGTGCCACAATTCACTCAGCGGAGGAGTGTGCTCTTTTACATTTTTATGCCATGCTGATTGTTTCCCGCGTAGACTCTGCTGGTTTTCTTCCATCCAGCAAACCAGTCGCTCTACATCTTCCTTCATCCAATTTCGAATTCGAGTAGCTTTTTGCCTTTCAGATGTCATTGACAGTTGATGCTGCAAATATTGGGTGATGTTGTGATGCTGTGATATCGTAATGTTGTGTCATGATGTTGTGTGGTGATGTTCACTAAGGTGCTAATTTGATTTCAATTATCTCCCATAACCAATTTAGAGTTCCATTAAATTACAGTTAAACTCTGGCCAATGAGAGGAGATGCCAAAGCGCTTGTCGAGGCGCTTCGTAGATTAATGGAAGTTACAATTGACCACCACTGATATATCACATGACAAAGGAACCCCCTCCCCCAAACACACAAATTATTCCCCCTGCCTTATCCTTCCCGCGTTAAAGGATATTCCAACCCAGCCATTGCAAATTTTAGGATCTCATGTCCTACTCCCAGTTAGTTTAGAGATCTATAAATTTATGCTCACAGGGCCAATGCACTTACCAAGGCTTCCTCAATAGGCCCACTTAGAGGCTGCTAAACCAGTCGCACCCTCTTGTTTCCCTGCTCCAGGAATGACTGGTATATAGTTTGAGTGTTTTCGGCTCTTTGAAGGGTTTGTGTTATTGAGAAAAGGCTTTTGTGCATAAACTTGGGGCGACGAATTCGGTAGTTGTTCTGCCCGAGAACAGGTGAGGCTTGTTGAGACATGGAGGTTTGGGGTAAGGCCCCGAGATGCACACAAAGATGAGGTTGAAGATGTTTGAGACATTGTAGAGACGGGGAAAGAGGCACAGAAGGAAGGATTTTGAAGTGTTAGGCAGTGGTTTAGAAGAGCTGGATTTCCGGTCGATGGATGCTCTAGGTACTGGGAACTGCAGCTGGTTTATATACATCGATCCTAGATGGCAAAGATAGATGCGGAAGATTTATCGGCATTGAAGCTATTAAGATCAATAGCCCGTAACTTTGTGGCGGTGAATGGTTTCCATACAACATTTTCCTTTATTCATTGTGCGGAACTTGCCAAGTGATTTCTCATTGACAAGCCTGCGGACTGTGATTGTAGTACTGCTTAATTGAAGTGAATGAGGACTACGCCATTTAAGCGTTATCAATTGCTGGCCTACTCTGCTATCGGCAAGCTGCTATCTTCGATTCAACTGAGTTGCAACCAGACTAGTTTAGGATTAGCACGTTTAGGATATCTCCATTGTGCCAACCAGGCTACTGAACTCGGCTAGTTATCAATTTCTCCTATTGGTAGTCCTTCTGTAAAGTCCTTCAGCATAACGAGTACTGATTTATTGAAGAAATAAAACATAGATTTAGTGAAAGCGATATGCTTTCCATCTTTCCGATTCACAAGCGCACACCCGTGAGACTACCAGGTCCCAGAGAGCAGTGACTGTAGGCCTGGGTACGAGCCGGCTCGTAACTCAGTGGCGAGAAGACTTTGAATAATAAATACATACATAGTTGTATACGTGAAATATCCGTATACAGAGGACATTTGATACAAGTATATCGTTCGGACCAGGAGGAGTATGCTTGTATGCTTGTAGCCAATATATGCATCTCTGGTATGCTTAACCCTGAATTAGTCTGGTTGCATCTGTATATGGCATGGAAATAAGAATAGAATTTTTTTTTCTAAATTAAATACTCATTACCATTTGCGGCCCCAGTAAGGGGACCATGATGAGCCACCTGGAAACCCAGGCGGATTCAGGACGAGGCAAGTTTATCTGCCAGGTCCGGCGCCGAAATATCACAACATAAACATATAAACATGACATAAACATAAACTCGAGTGCCAACTGGCAGAAAGGAAGTGTGGTATGCTATACCACATGGCTGCGTTCGTATTGCTTGAAGTACAAAGGGGTGTTTGTGCCAACCAGACTATAGATTTCCAAGCCGACGCAAGACTCAAAAGGATTAGAGCCTCCATGCTGTCATTAACCGGCGCTTTGAGGAAAAATATTTGTTCCCTCCACTCAGCCCTCCACGCCCCCTTTGGCGATAAAGGAAACTGAAGAATGCCTCTACTCCTCTACCGAGGGGTCGTGCCAACCAGACTACCTCTACTGCGTACCACTCCCCTCCGTATCATAGGATTACTGGAAGATATGCAATGTAATATCTTCCAGTAATCCTATAGTGGGTTTGAGTGTCCAGAAAGGCTCCACTGAATATACTTATTACTATATATATGCTCCTGTACTTTTTATCTCGTGCTCATACCGGTACCTACCTAGACCTCACGCACTTCCGTAGACTTGTTCTCTAGGCTTAACATATGGTAGGTGCATACCTAAAGAGAATATGCTGAGTATGGCGCCGCAGATATTGTATCGCGTAGGGAAAGGAGTGTATATGGATATATCGGGTATGCTGTATCCTCTATGCTGTGTGCTGGGTTCTTCTTCTTTTTTTTTTTTAAATAAATCAATAAACTCTATTTTTTTTCAAGAATTCCTGAAATTCCCTAGGTCATCCCGGAATGGCCCCAATTTCCGGAATGGCATGATTCCGCATCAGTGATGTACTTAGATGCCAAGTACTGTACTCGTTACCTCCATGAATTGTTGCACGCGGCATGCAAGCTGCACACCTGGCTGAATTGAGGTATGCTTATAGGATTTACCTAGGAATACAATTTATGCACCGTGCAATAATTCATGTGGGCACTTAACGAGTATATCGAATATCGTAGTGTGCTCCTCGTTGAAATCCAGAAATCCAAAGAGCGCTTGATGAGATGCAATATTAATAGCTATTATCGAATAATACAATGAGAGTGAAAATTCTTAAGAGAAATCTGTACATGTTCACTGCCCAACGACCTGCTTCAATTCTATAGACGTAGCGAGATACAGTCGGTATTGATTGAAAATTACAGTACTGCAGTCTTCCCACTACCTATCCAAGCAACTTCCATTGCAGGGCCAACATAGTCTCGATCAGACCAGGCCAACATGC